CCTACCTGGCTCCTGTTGGCTCTTCCAACTCAGGATGATCTTTCCAGCCTCAGGGCCTTTGCACTGGCCATTCCCACTGCCTGGAATGTTCTTTCCCCAGCTCCCCTTTCAGCCCTCTCACCTTAAATGGCCCCTTACTGGAGGTCTTCTCTGGCCACCACCCCAGCCATTACTCCTTTTCACAGAATCACGTTTTCTGGCTGTGTATCTGATTACACGTCATCTCTCTTCTCCACTAGAACGTGAGTTTGTTTGGACAGGACCAGAGCCTGTCTTGTTCACAGCTGTGTTCCAGGCCCCATCACCTGCCTGTTCCTAATGCCCATCAGCTATTTCCTGAATGAATCAGTTGTGTTACTCTGCCATGGCCTCAGTGACTTCCCTGTTGCATGTTGTCTCAGGTTCTAGCTCTAACAGCGTAGATGCAAGCAGACTGGAAACGTGAGCCTTTGTGCTGGGTTAGGGTTACCAGGCCTCCAGACAGGCGCAGATGTTTCTCTACAGAAGAAATGGGCCCATGAGGATAAAACATAGAGTGGCTGCTGATTAATTAAATGGTCCTAAGAGATTTTCTATAAAGCTGTTTCCATTAAATGCTCCAAAGAACTTTTTACGTCGCTCTTTGGAAGACGGAGCAAAAATAAAGGCCAACTTCTGGAGGGAGGAATGCTGCCTGCCTTCCTTTTCACTGAAAACAATGAAGAGAAGTGTGACAGTGTGAAAGAGACTAGGGCACCATCCGTTAAGCAGCCTATTATTAGCAGGCTAATAATGTCAGATTTGTGATCTTAGCCCAATAGATTAATTTTTCAAGGTGGTCAAATTCAACAGACATTTCTTTCTTTTTTTCTCTTTTTCTTTGGATTTCAGGTGCACATAACTGGATTAATTACAATCATCGGTTTGTGATATAGTCTTATTATTGGTGGTGCATGATCTGCTTTATTTATTTAGTGAGTTATTTTAAATAATGCACTATTAGCCACAAACACACCACTGAACAAAAGCTAGGACTTTGATAATACTGTGGGTCTGACCGCATTATTCTCCCTTCCCCTCTCTCCTCCCAGCCAAGGTCATTATATCCTGAGTGCTGTGTTCAACTTTCCTTTTTATATCATCTTATTACATGTGGGAGCTTCTAATACGGAAACTGCAAAATTGCCTTGGACCTGGAAAAGTGTTAAGTGCTGAAGCCATTATCCCTGTATATTTGGCTTTCAGAAATTCAACCAAGGAAAGCCAAGTTCACATGAAATGCTTGTTTTCAAATCAGGAAACTCAAGTGTGAAATTGTACCACAAACATGTACACAGAGAATCTTACATGAAACAGTCTATGCAACCCATGCATTGAGAATAAGGAATGTGTGTCAGAAATATCTGTGCTTAGCTAATGGTCTAGGTGTCAAGTGCCCTGACTCCAACCATCTACTCTGAAAAATAGACCAAAGTCTGCACTGAACTGAGTCTGACCCCATCAGGATCCAAGCTTCATAGTGGCAATTCACTGCACTCACAATGTCCCACCACGGCTCCAAGTTTCTGATGATGACCAAGACACGTAAAATACTTGGGAACAGCTGAAAAATTCATCTAGTCTGCAATAGAATCTTTTCTAAAATGCTCTACAGGGACCAGAGAGCCTGATCTCATTAGTGACAGAAGGATTCCACTTTGAGAACAAGTCTCCCTGCCAACTAAGTTATTTCAGGGAAATCTATTGTTGGTGACAAAAAAAAACCAAACAAACATATAAGAGGAACCTATGGACAAGAGATAGTTACCTTTATCTCAGTTGTTGACGAATTAAATGAAATAATGTAGGTGAGCAAGGGCTCTGTAAATTACATGAAAGAAGTTGAGATAGGAACACCTAGTAGGCAAACCCTATATCCTAATTATCTTGTATCCATAGAAGTTGGCCAGTGTCTGAAACACAGTAGGCATTCAATAAATGTCTGCAGAGTGAATTAATTCAAAACTCTTTTGCCATCCTGGAAGCACGAGCAAGGCCACCAGATGTGCAGGCAACGGAGGAGGAGGAAGAGATGGACCCCCTGGACTCGGCCTCGAGGGTCTTCTGCAGCTGCATCCTGAGCATGGTGGATGCAGACGATGTCAACACCATCATCCTGGCCCAGAAGAGCATGCTGGACCGCTTTGAGAAGACCAATGAGATACTGCTGAACTTCAACAACCTGTTGAGTGCCCGCCTGCAGCAGATGAGTGAGCGCTTCCTGCACCACACGAGGACCCTGGTGGAGATGAAACGGGACCTGAAGAGCATCTTCCACAGGATCAGGACACTGAAAGGGAAGCTGGCCAGGCAGCACCTGGAGGCCTTCAGCCACATCCCAGAAGCGTCCCTCCTGGAGGATGAGGATGAAGACCCCATCCCACTTAGCACCACAACAACAATTACCACCTCGGAACAGAGCACAGGCTCGTGCGACACCAGCCCCAACACTGTCTCACCCTCCCTCAGCCCCGGCTTCGAGGACCTGTTCCATATCTGGTCCAGCTCCCCTGCCATCAATGTCTGCAGCCATACAGATGACGAGGAGACGCCGGGTGAGTAGCCCTGCTCCCAGGAGCTTGGTGGGGTCTCAGGGCAGCAGCAGCACCACTCCCCAGATGTCTGAGGTGGCAGCAGGTAACTCTGCCTTGAGACAGTCAGCTTTGCCACCCCGTTTTGTCATTTGGAGCTCCCTGGGGAACAAGGCTCCCTTGCTGGGGTATGGAATTCCTGGGATCTAGCATTCCCATTGTAAGAACATCTCTCCTCGACCCCTCTGCCAAGTCAGGGAGTCCAGCCCAGCTGGAGTCACTGGGTTGGGCACAAGGGAGCTTTTCCAGAGCCAGGCCTGAGGTCTGCTCTGAACAACACTTAAAGGTTCCCAGAGACCGGAGCCAGTTGCCCCCTGCCCCAACACCCTGGCCAGGACTTCTTCAAGGTGGACAAGCGTTGTCCTGTCTGAGTTCACCCCAGTCCACCGCTCTACCCACTAATTCTGGTCTCCTTGCCCCTTCCTGCAGTGAAAGTATGAAATACTTTCCCCAGTCTCAAGGTTTCTCAGATAGTCGTAGAAGGCTCAAGACAGCTTAGCCAGCCACTCAGCCCTGAGCCTGAGGTAAGGCCCACGTTTCTCTGACCAGAGGTGTGTACCCTGAGGGCCCAGCAGGCCTCTCCTGGGGCCTTCGTGGAGCAAGCCGAGCCACCTTGGAAAACAGAGTTCAGTGCAATATTTTTGTGCCTGATGTTTACAGATGCTGTTGGGAAGTTATCAATAAAAAGACTCTGTTACTAAAAAATAAACAAACAAACAAAAAAACAAACTCTTTTGCTAAAGAATACAGATTTTTTTCCCCTAAGTGGTTCTTTTTTTTTTTTTTAATTGAAGTACCATCAATTACTATGTGTCAATTTCTGGGGTACAGCATGGTGTCCCAGTCATGCATATACATACATGTGTTCATTTTCATATTTTTTCATTAAAGATTATCACAAGATATTGAACATAGTTCCCTGTGCTATACAACAGAAACTTTTTAAAATCTATTTTATATATAGTGGTTAACATTTATAAATCTCAAATTCCCAAATTTATCCCTTCCCGCCCCCTTTCCCAGGTAACCATCAGATTGTTTACTATGTCTGTGAGTCTGTTTCTGTTTTATAGATGACTTCATGATGTCCTTTTTTTTTTTAGATTCCACATATGAGTGATATCACGTGGTATTTTTCTTTCTCTTACTGGCTTACCCTAAGTGGTCTTTCTTAATCATACATATCAATAAGAGTACACAGCTCAGTAGAAAAAGTAAGCAAAGAATAAACAGAATTTTTTATTTGAAAAGACCTTTAAACATGAAAAATGGCTCAAACTTGTACTAAAAAATGTAAAATAACGCAGAGTCTAAAACCCATCAGATTGGCAAAGATCTAAAAGTTTGAAAAGACAGCGCTGGCAAGGGTGGTGGGAAGCGGCCTTTCCCAGGCATGTTAGTATACATGAACACAGCCCCTCAGAAAGGGGATTTGGCACTGCTTACTCAAAATTAGAGCAGATACAGTCTTTGACACAATTCCATTTTCAGGAATTCATCCTATAGGTACACTCTGACAGGTGGCTCTAGAACTATGTTGGGGACATAGTAAGCACTTTATCATTACTGTTGAATGTATTTGTATGAAGATATAAATATCAAAACATTCTTTGAAGCACTATTACTAACAGCAAAAGACTGTAAAAATCCTAAACGTCCTTCAGTGGGGGAACTGGTTAAAGAAAACTTAGAGCGTGTGTATGGCATTCTAAATGTTGATTTAAAAGATCGAGGCTGAGCTATGTGAACTGAGAGCAACTGAAACAGCAATATAGACTACTTAAAAAAATACAGGTATGTGTCTTCAAAAGGTGTAAGTATCAAAATGCATGTGTAAGGCTGGTTACAAGAGATTACCTGTAGGGAGGGAAATGAAGGGATGAGAGTTAGTAATGGAAAGGAAGAATTGCATTTTCATTTTTAAATTTTTTTTTGGTTTTTTTGGGGGGGTGGTAATTAGGTTTATTTATTTATTTATTCTTGGA